GTAATGAGTCAAGCGGGTGAACAACTCGCAGCTAAAGCTAACAATCGTAACCTCGTTGTAATTGCGGGAGGGTTAAATGACGTCCTGAAAAAAGAATCGTCAGGACTAGCGACGACCTTGGCGAAAGGGGTGGATGACATGCGCACCGTGTCCCCCCAGGTGCAAATTGTAGTATGCACAGTACCAGAAGTACCAGTACGCAACGTCAACCTGCAAAGAGCGGTTGTCGACGCAAACAAAGAGATATGGCGAATTAGTCGAGAGAAGGGTTTCGAGGTAGTGGATTTAAACAGGGAAGTGCACAGGTGGGGTGGATTCCAAAGAGACAAGATTCATTTCGATAAGAGGCTTGGACACGAGGTGGGCTGGCGACTGGCAGGACGCGCAGTAGCTTTTTTGGGGGGCTCACGGGCCCTTCGGAGTCCGGGGTAGCTCGTAACAGGGAAAACAACCAGGAGGACGCTTTGACAGGTAGAATTGCGAAAAACCAGAAAAAAGGTAAAAAAAAAGCAAAAGGCGCGTGTTGCAATTAGTTACATAAACATGCAGGGTGGCAGAAAGAAGGCAAAATGGTTAGAGATTGAGGAGCAGTTAAACAAAGAACAGATAGGCGTGTATGCGGTTACAGAAACACACCTTAGAGACTTGGAAGAGCCACCACATATTAAAAATTATGTTTGGGAAGGGTGTAACAGGACCATATCGGAAAGGAAAGGTGGGGGTGTAGGAATGCTAATTCACCGCGGAGCCAAATGGGTTAGAGTGAAACAGACGTGTTCAGAGCACCTCTGGGTTCTGGGCACAGTAGGTGGAAAGGAAACGTGGCTAGGGGTAGCCTACTTGCGGACGGGGAATAACTGCAGAGAAAAGAATCAGGAGATAGTGGATTGCATGAGTGCGGATATTAAGGAATTTGGTAATGGGGCCGAAATCATCCTTCTAGGGGACATGAATGCCCACATACATGACCTTGACGGATATTCAGACACCAATGGGAAGTTATTACTAGATCTTTGCGAGCAACATAGTCTGGAGATAGTTAACACGGGACCTAAATGTGACGGCCAGATCACATGGGAAGTCGGAAACAAGCAATCAAGTATTGATTATTGTCTCATGACTGAAGGAATTTACCACAAACTGACAGAAATGAGGATAGACGAGGAAGGCATTAACTGCTTGGGTAGTGATTATAAACGAATAACATTACAAATGGGATACGAAACTGAAAATATGAGCATGGAATCAAAGTCTGGCAGCTCGTATTTAAATGACAAATAAATAATAAATATAGCCGCAAGAGTCGAGGAAGAAGTAGGCGAAATACCAGGCAAGGACTGGGAGTATAGTGAGCTGTTACATCTAATGACGAAGGAGATAGGGAAAGAGAAGAAAACTGTTTGCTGGAAAGGAAAAAGGAAGCCAAAAAGTTGGTGGAACAAGGAAATCCGGGAGGCGATCGAGAAGCGACGCGAAGCATCACGGGAGCATAGAAAGGCAAAAAAGGAGAAGCGGCCGCAGGGCGAAGTAAAAAAATATGGGAAATATATTTAGAGAAAAAATCCCTTGTACAGAAATTGGTAGAGGCAAAAATTAAAGGTGAAAGTGAACGCTGGATGACAGAGATACACGAAAAAAAGGAGGCCGCGCCTAGGATTTTTTGGAGCCACATAAAGGCGCTAGGTAGGAAGTCTGTCACAAACGCAACAGCATATTCTAGATGAAGGAGGAAATCAATTGGAAGGGTACGAAGCGCTAGGTTACATCCAAAAGGTAACAGCCGACTCGTTTCAAAAGAGCGTCCAGGGGATCTCCCCGGTGAGTAAAAGTGTGGCGGAGAAAGCAACAGAGGAAGAGCTAGTACTTGATAATTTCAACTGGAAAAAGGCCGAAGGAAAAATTCCAAAGCGCACTGCCGCGGGTTTAGATGGGATTCCCGTTAGCCTCATTAACGAACTAGGACATAACACTAAAGAAGCATTGTTAAAAGCAGTAGAAAAAAGCTTAAAGGACGGACAAATACCGGACAGTTGGCGACAAAGTAGAATGAACTTAATCTATAAAGGCAAGGGAGAAAAGGACAAGATTCGCTCGTATAGACCACTAACCATTACATCGGTACTATACAGGTTGGCGATGCAAGCAGTAAAAATGAAAATAGAAACATGGGCCGAACATAACGATATTTTGGGAGAACTTCAGAACGGATTTCGAGTCGACAGGCGGTTAGACGATAACCTGTTTGTTCTCACTCAGTCTATAGAAATATCTAAAATAGAGAATAGGCCCTTGTACGTGGCTTTTCTAGACATCACTGGGGCATACGACAACGTTAATCAGGAAATTTTGTGGGATATATTGAAAGGAATGGGCATGGGCGACGACTGTATACAGCTTTTGAGGGAGATATACCGAGAAAATACAGTTTGCATAGAGTGGGAAGGAATGCGTTGCAAAGAGAACGTTGAGGTTAGCAGGGGTCTGAGACAGGGATGTCCTTTGTCCCCGCTGTTATTCATGCTGTACATGGTGAGTATGGAAAAAGCGCTAGAAGGTAGCGACATTGGTTTTAATCTGTCACACAAACAGGGCGGCATGATGATTGAGCAGAAGCTTCCAGGTTTATTTTATGCGGACGATATCGTCTTATTTGCGGACAGTCGAGATGATATACAGCAGCTGGCGAATATATGCGGAAGGGAAGGTGAAGCTCTTGGACTAGGATTCAGTGTAACGAAGTGTGGATTGATGGTATTCAATGATCCCTGTGATCAGACGGTGTCCATACAAGGCCAAGAAATACCGAGGGTAAGTGAATACAAGTACCTTGGAGTATGGGTAAATGAGAGTGATAGATACATGGAGGTTCAGGAAAAAGCCTCGGCAGCAAAAGGAAAGAGGAATGCGGCAATAATGAAGCACAGAGCGTTGTGGGGATAAATTGGTATGAGGTGCTTCGAGGTCTGTGGAAGGGTGTAATGGTTCCAGGGCTTACTTTTGGGAACTCAGTGGTGTGCATGAGGGCAGAGGTGCAATCGGGAATGGATGTAAATCAAAGGACTGTGGGACGCCTCGCGTTGGGTGCTCACGGGAAGACGACAAACGAGGCTGTAAAGGGCGATATGGGGTGGGCAGGTTTTGAGGCGAGGGAAGCGCAGAGCAAAATAAGGTTCGAAGAAAGGCTAAGAAATATGAAGGAGAGTAGATGGGCAGAGAAGGTGTTCCGTTATTTGTATAGAAAGAGCGTGGACACACAGTGGAGAAAAAGAACTAGAAGACTCACTAGTAAATATACGGCTGGTATTGTAAGCCATATGTCAACAAAGAGCGTTAAGGGAAAAGTCAGGGAGGCGGAGAGGATTTACTGGATGGCAGCTATGGAGAAAAAACCGGCTTTGAGTAACTACCGAAAGGGCAAAAATGAAATAAGGAGGGAGACATTTTACGATAATTCAAGGGGAAGCGCTTTACTGTTTGAAGCGAGATCGGGTTGCCTTAGAACGCGTAGTTATAAAGCAAGATTCAGTAAAGAAGAAGAACAATGCACATGCTGCGGGAAAGATAAGGAAACGGCGGAGCATGTTCTGATTGAATGTGGAGATATCCACCCAGGTGTACGTTTGGGCACGAGCCTACAGGAAGCCTTGGGTTTTAGGGACAACAATGGAAAGCTGAACACACCCGCGATTGAAATAAGTAAGAGACGGTTAGAGTATTGGTGGCAGAAAATTAGAGAGAAAGGACAAAAATAAATATTGGAAAAATAAAATATGGACAGTGTGCCGTAAATGGCAGAGAACTTAAGCTGAAAATTTACCTTTTTTTCCATTAAGATAGAATTTGTCGAAGTAGAGGCATTAGGCCAACATAAAAAAGAAAAAAGGTTTTTTTTTTTGTCGAGCCTGGTGGCATACTTGTCACCACCCCGTTATAAAGGGGACGCTCATAGCATCCATCCATGTAGCCACCTCTAGTTTAGTTCTTGCAGTGTTCACTAGATGGCGGTACCGTCTCCTGTATGTAGCCACCTCTCGTTAGTTCTTGTAGTGTTTACTAGATGGTGGTACTTGTAGCTGATGATGAAAAGATGCAAGATGTTATAAACTAGAAAGCGGTACTTGTAGTTGATGAAAGACGCGAGATCCTATAAAATAGGAATGATGTCACATATGGCGCGTGTCATTGGTTGAAGGCAATAGTTCGATTTAGTGCGGCGACGTACGCTAGGGGGAGCGTTGTAATAAAATCCGTTCGCTGTTGGCGCGCACTCGGAGTCGCCGGATGGATAAGGCTGCACAGCGGAGAGAGCGCAAGGCGGCAGCAGCGCGCGCTCACAGGCAGAATCCCGATGTGCGAGCGCGCGAGGCAGAAGCGCTCCGTGAAGCTGCGCGACGCCGCCGCCAAGATCCTGCCGTACGTGAAAAAGAGGCTGCAGCGGCGCGACGCCGCCACCAAGATCCTGCCGTACGTGAAAGAGAGGCTGCAGTGGCGCGACGCCGCCACCAAGATCCTGCCGTACGTGAAAGAGAGGCTGCAGCATTTCTCACGTCTTTACATGATGATCGACTGGGCGAATTACACGGAAGATTCACAGATTACCGATGAATCCCTCCGGAGCTTCGCCCATTCATCATCATTCACCCCGTGAATATGCCGTAATTTTTTTTTGTGACCACAGGTAGAGCGAAGGTACACGAAGAAGAAAACGATTCTTAGATAGGTAACGAAATGAATGAGCTGGACAGAAAGTACATAAACTAGCAGCAACTTCTCACAGCTTCATGTAACAAAAGTATTAGACTCAGTGTGGTAAAGACAAAAAGTATAGAAAGAGGCACTGTCTTTCATAACTTCTTTGAATATTCTAGCTGGAAGGAAGCGTATTTTAAAGTTTGCTTATTGAAAGGAGTGACCATGTAATATATCTTTCAAATCTTCATATATTTACACTGAAATACTCATATGTTTTGGCATGACGACTCCATCATTTGTTTCCTTAGGAAGACATCCTGTCATTAAGCTTGTGATGCGAACCAAGAGATTGCCGCCTGGCATTTCTCGGAATACAATTGTGGAAATTCGAGGCAGAACCAAACCAGAAGAGGTAATATTGCTGAATGCTTACACTGTCACTATAGAAAACACTACGCATAATTTACTTTATAATTTTACTTTGGAAAATGGAAATAGTTTAAAAATAAAGGCACTTCTGCGTTTCTCTGAAATTTGCACTTGGTCATTTTGCGCATCTGTTCCCATCAGTCCTGTTTCATTTACTTTTTTTCTTTCTTGATATACTAATAATAGCAGTTGTATATATATTTAAATATTGCTATTACTATATTTGAATAATAATTAAATTTTTAGCGTTTAACGCCCGAAAACCATGACATCTTAATGAGAGACGCCTTAATAGAGGGCTCCAGAAATTTAAATGAACTGGGGAGTCAAAGAGTGGACTCCAATGTACATGGCACTGAAGCATTTTCAGCTTCATCGAAAATGCCGCCTCCGCAGCTGATATATTTGATTACGTCACGTTCAGGTTAGCAGCAGTCGAGTATCACTGTCAGTAAGCCACACTGACGGGTTTCGCCAACAAGAAGCTTCGGCTTTCTTGGTTAGCATTGCTGCCTCTCTTCAGCTTTAATTCAAAGTAGAGAAAAAAATTCTTTTCGTCGAAGGCCACACTTATGCCAGTTTTTCCCTTGTGTCATTTTCAGAGATTACTGTCCTCCATTTTGTTGCGGTTCTTTTTTTTTCGAAACATTCTATTTGAAAGAAAATAACGTAATGTAAGACATAGATTCATTGTATGAGCTTCACTTGTTTATGCAGATTGTTTCGCTGTCCGGCCATCTTGACTCCTGGGACGTGGGTCAGGGTGCCATGGACGACGGTGCGGGGGCTTTCATCTCGTGGAGGGCTCTCGCTGTGCTTCGGCGCCTGGGCCTCAGGCCTCGGCGCACGCTGCGTGCCATCCTCTTCATTGGAGAAGAACAAGGTATCACCGGGGCAATGGACTACTTCAAGCGACACTTTCCCTATGAGCGAGATCTCCTTAATGTAGTGATGGAATCCGACAGTGGGACGTTTCGACCGTTGGGTCTGGCCTTCTCGGGCACTAACAAGCGTGCTCGTTGCATTGTGGCCGAGGTACTCCGTCTGTTTGCCCCCATTAACGCCACACAGCTCACGCTCGGAGTTTCAGAGCCTGACATTGGTCCCTGGATTCAAAAAGGCGTGCCAGCCTTGTCTTTGAACACGGTAACCAAAAAGTACTTCTACTTCCACCACACCGAGGGAGACACTATGAGCGTGCTGGACCGCCACGAACTGGACCTCTGCACAGCCCTCTGGGCGGCTGCTTCCTATATATTTGCGGACCTCTCTATTCGCCTCCCTCGATGAGAAAATGGCATGAAGGCTCCGTACGTGCAGCAGTCGAATGTGTTTGGTAATTGTAATCACTTCAGTGGTCAGCTCGCTAATATCGCGAAAGAAGTCCTTTTTATGCTTCAAGATCTCAATCTGGCCTCCCTTCGGGGCCTTTCAAGATGTTTTAGTGAATATGCTTTGATAATTTGGATGGCCCTGAAATATAAAGAATAAAGTGGTGCAGAAATGAATACCTAATGGCAAAATCATTTTCATCACGTTACATTCACCCTTGAATACAAATGCCACTTTCAATTCGAAGTTTGGTGCCTGCATTCCACATAACTATGCGATCACATCGCAATGGCACAGTTTTCAAGACATACTTATATGCACTTGTAAAACTTGGATATTCGGCTCTTTGTGACTAAAGTGGTACGCGTATATCCGAAGGGCTAATTTCATCGGAATAACCAGATCAACAAAACGGGCGTATCCAGACAATTTTTCTTGAGGGGTGCGGGGGCACCACGTTGATTTTCAGGGTTCGGGACAAGGAACCAGTGCACCACCACCTGACTACGCCCCTGATCATCAGAGAAAAAGGCCTGAATATAAGAGTAGGAGAGACTGCTAACGAAGAAGGAATATATTTAGTTTACATATCAAATAAAGTCGCTGCTTTAAAAGCACTTCCAAGTTGCATTCAAGAAATGCATTGTGAGAGCCAGGAAAGACGCCTACGTTGATTTTAACATTTTTTAAGGTCAAGTGTTTCTTTGCGTATTGCACTAATTCTTGGCATATACCTGCGTATGTATCTATATATCTAGCCACTTACGTCTGGGGGCTCTCGTGATCACGCCCTTAACTTGGGCGAACCAAATTTAGTATGGGAGGCTAAGGTGGTTTATTGGTTTAATGAACGTAACGCGCTAGTCACGACGTGAAAATTGACACCATCTCGTCCCGTACGTCGTAAAAGACTTCCCGCAAGACAGTGGTACATGCCGACGGGCAAATATGTAACACTAGTATGTGCCACGAATGATTAATACTCAGTGTATACCAAGGAACGACGAAAACACACATTGGTAATTTTAACACGTGGGCGTTCAGAAAACCTGGCATCGGCAGCATTGAACTTACGAATATAGCGTTGACCCGATGACGTTGAATCAACGGTTGCACTTCTGGCTATCCAATTTTATAACGTTACATATGTACTGCAATGGTACTGCCGTCCTGTCGGGTTATCGTCAATTATAGTTAGATGCCTTGCGCTGAAGTTTATTTTGGCAGCAGTGTCCAGGGCTACCATCCACACGAGCACCAACGCTTTATATCAGCTTATCGCTTCTGATGTCTCTAAAACTCATGTTCCTGTTGGCATCGTTGTGCAAGTACAGACAACTGGTTATAATAAAATCTAGAATTGTTCAAGATTTCTCCGTGTGCGCAACATTTGTACACGTATTTAGCGCCATTTATTAAGGCATCATTCAATAACAAATTACAACACGGTCACCTTTCCAGCGCATGCTTCGCCTAACGTCGATTCCCAAGGTACGTGGGAGCTGCCAAATTTTTCTCCGTAACCGTGGCCTCTGCTGCCGAACGCTACAATGGTGGCACTCCCTGAGTGCTCACGATGGCGGCAGGTAGGACCTAACTTACACTAAGCCACTTTCAGTTGGCCAACGCACTTTCGGGTGCAAGCTTCCAGAGTTACAATTACACGAAGTTGCTACTTTTCTGTTCAGTTAATTACGACTTTCCACGTTTTATCTTCCACAATTGCCTTCACAATAAATCGAATTTTTCTTTGTCGTAGCATTTTTTGTTGTAGCCAAGAAAAGAAGCAGTAACACAAGTAATAATAATAAACACAATGAATCGATATATTGTTAACCATATTAATATTTACTATAGTACTAATAGCTGGGTGTTTCCATGCCAAAACCGCAATATACTGAGGCATGCCTTATTGTGACACTTCGGAAATTTCAGCCACCTGTCTTTATTTAACGCACACATGGGCCTGTTGCACTTCACCTTCACAAAAAAAGTAAGGCCATAGTCCTTCAATACTTTTACTGAACATGAAGCTCCACCAGAACTCTATGAGAGAGCTTTGTGCGCTGCAAGCCGAGGCCACGGGGCTCACTGCATTCCTGCGTGAGGCATCGGGTAGATGGTGGCAGCACCACCATGCCGTTTTCATCATACATTTGGTTTTGTGCGCGTTGTGCTTGAAGATTGAAAAAGAGGCCGCGCACATGCGGGGTACATTGGTGTCGATCCAATTACAAGGTATATTACGAAAAGGTGTCTATGTTCTGGATGCCTAAAGAGCGAACGGCTAAAAAAGCGGAAGTGCGCTATACCGCAAGAAGAAAGTGGTGGTTTGACATTTTTCGGCAAGTGCTCGCGTGCGAAAAGTACCTCAATGAGAGTGGAATATTTTGCGTGGGCCAATAGCCGGCTAATCGGAGGCATTGTTGGGAAGGCACCACACAATCTTCCGAAACATTTGCCGGACGCTGTCTCAAGGATTTTGCTTGGTCTCCCGACGTATTTGTTTAGTGCAAGAAGGTCCTGGGCTCATCCGCCTATCAATCGTCGCCGGAAACCATCAGCTGTGCTGGAGACTGATGAGTCTGAATTGACGCTGCATGAGCCCCTTTGACACAGCTGCCGTGGATGATGACACTGTCAATGCAGGCGAGCACACTGCCTAACTCTTCGTCGTTGCAAGCTTGTAACAGAGAAGTTTGATAAGTGAAATGCTCGCCGTTTTCTTTCAAAGACGCACTGATATGATCAAAAGTGTAGAGGTAACTTACCAAACAGACAGAGCTACATGCAGCCTCTCATAGCTGAAAAATCTAAAACGCACACTTGTTTCTTGGAACAGAGATTGCAGTAGAGCCCATTGAAGCTTGCTATGGTGACGGCACAGCAGAGGATCCACTAAAAAAGTGTACGAAACTTGTACAAGCTGTAAAAGCGCGAAAAGTTACTTTTCGATATCAAAGCGTCACGAGCGCGAGGAGACTGTTTTTTGCGTCACATGATAAAGGCGTCAGAGTGGGACGCAGTCGGTCAACTTTCCCGTTTCGGAAGGCACGTAAGGCTTTGGTCTTAACAGTAAATTCAATAATGACAGTGAAAACTCAGCATGAGTAAGCCACACAGTAAAGGACTTGTAAAATACGTAGCATGCCCAACCAAACGTAAATCACACTACGGCACCGTAGTGATAAATCAAAGCAAAACAATACACGAAAACCTGGCAAAAGCCGTATAGAGGATTGCTTAGACCTCATGAGTAATCATTTTTCAGCACTGATTCATTCAAACTAGCTGTTGTTTTGATAAATACGAAGCAATTTTAAGATACTTACTCTAGCACCAAATGTATAAACAGCCTCATAGATTGGATACGCGCTGTGAATAGTTGCAACCTCTGCACTTCCGTGACACGTTATTATTTACCAGAGTTTCCGAAGAACTCGGATTGTCCACAAATTTTCACTAGATGCATCAGAAAAGAATGACAGATCCCTCGTACAGTGAGTATCGATGATATGTGAAGCACGAATGAAAAATGGTGGTCTGTCACTTTAAAATCAGCACAACTTTACGAGGTGGTGGTAAATCATGCCATACATGACTTCCGTGTCATAATTACCACGTTTGGATGTGTCGTTTACTTTCTTCACATTTTCACGTCTCGGGATACCAAATTTAGTATATTGAAGGTAGCGAAACGGTGACGAGCACTCTATGAGCGTGACATGCTGTCATGTTCTTACATGACACGCATGTCAGGATTATCATGTTTGCACTAGTCATATACATAGTCATCCATTTACGTCACGTAACACCACATTTAGTATATGTGGAGCTAGGAAAACGGCCGCGAGTGTATCATAAAAGACCATTATATACTCCAATGTAGCGTCGACGCACGCGCATGCTAGGAACAGCGAAGCTACGTTAGCAAAACGCGAGCACTCTTTAGCCTGACGCGAGGCACGACCACAGTCCGTCGGCGCTTCTCCACGGCAACTGGCACAAAATGTGACGTGCTGCATTTAGCGCCGATGCATTACCCAGATAACAATGCGTCTCCTTCTTTATGTGACGGAGGGACGCCAGACGCGTTGAAACGTGCATGCGTCAAAGCAATCCTTACAGCAAATAAACAAACCACCAAACAGTTCAGCGCAATGATGATAACCCACAGATTGATCGACAACTTCGGACCCTCTGGGACAAAAGGCATGAGCTAATTAGGAGGTCGAAACGGAACAAACTAAACAAATGTCTAAGTCCCACATAGAAGAGATCACGCGAGAAGCGCAAGAGTATGCGTACAAGTTAGCCACCGACAATTGGCTTCATATTTGTGAGCACGCAGGCAACAGCTTGCACACGAGCAGAGCATGGTCTCTTTTTCGCACCTTGCTAGGGCAACCCAAACGAAAGAACCACCGAGAGGTATTACAGCTCAAGAATGGGATTGACTCACAAACTTTGGCAGAAGAAATCGCCGACCACTTCTTTCCAACAGCTACGACAATCCCTTGCGCTCATCCTCTTCCGGTATTAACTGACGACACCTCTTCAGATCTCGACCGACCATTCTCAACGGGAGAGCTGCGAATAGCTATGGATGCCTGTAAAAGGCAGACAGTGCCAGGCCCGGACGGCATAAGCAACAAGATGTTAAGAAATTAGCCCGAAACACAACTGAAGTTTCTTCTCGACACCATCAACCAAGCTTGGGAAACAGGCAATAAACCCTAGGGAAAAATGGCCACTGTAATTCCTTTCCCCAAGCCCAATAAGGCACCAAACGAAATTGGGAATTTTCACTCGATTTCACTGACATCTTGTCCAGGGAAACTTATGGAGCGCATGGCACTAACGCGACTACTCTGGCAGCAGGACAGAGCCTGTCCGGTTGAACCATGCGTCATTGGTTTCCGAAAACACATGTCTACGCAAGATGCGATGCTTGCTTTGCAGGCGGTGTACACCGTGCACAGTGCCTCTCAACTGCGTGCTGTAGTTGGCCTTAATATTAAGGAGGCGTTTGACCACGTAACCCACGCGGTGGTTCTTGAGAGCCTTAGGTTGATCCGACCAGGACAGAAGCTATACAACTATGTTAAAATTTTCTTACCGACCACACAGTCGCCGTGCAGGTAAACGAAGCAAAAGCGCGCACGCGG